AGGGATCATTGTACATACTGCTCGCTGTAGTCTTAAGTCTCATAACTTTTGCTGCCTGTTCATACGAAGTTTTGGCTGCACTTCGCCATTAATTAAAGCTTTTGTGGAGCGTTTCTTTGATAAGAGAAGTATTTTTAAACTTTGCCGAAATTTCCGGGGGGTTGGTGTGTAAATCAGCTCAACGTTCGTCATTCCTCCCGCACGCGTAATTTCCTGTAATGCACAACTGCAAGAGGGGGCAATTTCTCCACCAACATTTCCCATACTAAGATCTTTATATACGTAACTGTTAATAAAATCAAACAGCAGCCTCGTATCCATGCGCTTAGATGCTTTGAACCATATGATGTTTTATAATAAATTGAATGCCACATGACGTTCGTGGGCTCGCGCATTTGCGTGGCTGCCTCCCTCATGGTAAATTCCTAAAACCCAACCTATTGTGGTATTCATAGCTATACTCAGCTACCATCTTGACTATCCCAGTATGCCTTACAAAAGGTAGAGGAAATTACATAAAAAGCATACTTTAACACCATAGTGAAAAAAAAAGAGTAAACCATGTGATCCTTCTACACAGTAACATCGAAAAATTTAATAAGGCGGGTAGACATTGCTGTAAACTATTATTATATAATAAATATAGAAATTTTATCAATGAACAATATTCTTTTCTGGAAATCATCTCACTTGGTCTTTTTTTTTGTTCCTATGTTCCTCTAACAAACAATTAAAGCAACCAATTTGAATTCAAATTTTGCCAGGCGCTTCCCTGCGATTTTCCCATTTTTTGTATGTTGTCCCGCGCTGTACTTTTTCACACAAATGATTCAAAGCATCAAGGCACCTGGGTACGAGGCTGATCAAACAGGGCATAATATATGTAAGGGATATTTTGGGAGTGTTTGCTAACCCAAAATGAAATCTTGCCAGCGTCACTGTTTGAATCTTACATATTTGTGAAGAATTGGGAGTATAGATTTTCTGTGATGATTAATCCTAAAACTCATGGGGGATATGTAAATTTACCATATATTAGTATTTCAGGGATAAGCTCTGGAAAAACTCTCAAGAAATACTCTTTATAGTTGTCAATTATTTCTTGAGAGTTGTAGTCATGATAAATTTTGTTGTTATATAGTTGCCAATTAAATCCATCATTAAATAATAAAATTATTTCAGTGGTTATAACTTATATGTTTGTAAATGATGATCGTCCAGGTTAATAAAGTCCTGAGAAGGACTGTTTTTGTTGTACAAAAACAAAAACAGTCCTTCTCAGGACTTTATTAACCTGGACGATCATCATTTACAAACATATAACGATAGTCCCCGGTTCAAACCATTTACTTGGTTATAACTTATTTGTAAAATGTTTTTCAAGATCAGGTCTTGTTTTCCAATCATTAAACTTTGTGATTCTGTGCACCAGCAGAGGAAGCTCTGGGAAAACTCGTGAAAAATTATTTTTAATTTCCTGCGTGTCATTTCCGGCAAAGATTTACATCGTCATCCGACAAGAAAAAATATTAAATGTTTAAGATCAGTTCATCGTCTCAACAAAGTTTTTTCTATTTTATCGCTATGGCTAAAAGTATGCAAAAAATATAAGGTTAAAGACATAGAGTTAATTACAGAGGGATAAATAAGATAAACAGAACAAACCCTGGCAAATAAATAGATTATACATCATGAAATATTTCACATATATTCAACCTAACATTTACCACTCTTTGGTTTTGTAATTAATACAATACAAGAAAGTCTGGAAAACTTACAATATATACGACGATTTTTAAGTGTATGAAAATTGGAGATACTATGATTTCGTTTGCAATTTCTATTATAAACAGATTATAAACATCAAAGTATGGTAGATTAATATCGTTTGATAATAAATGTAAAGCAATTTTATAGATCGCAGCGGGAAACAAATATATTTACTGAAAGAATGGATAAGGATTTTCAAGTATTATTTCAAACGTTATACGCACGTGTAACTAATGCCTCTGTTTGTAAACAACAGAACGAGCCCTTTTATAGTGAAAAACACCGAATTTTGCCTTGGTTAGAAATTCTTCTTTGAAGAGTTCACCCTTGTTGGGACTATGCGACACTGTATCTACAAAACAGTACTATATGATCTAATGAGTACTATGCTTTATAAACATTTTAAGTACACCATAATATTTTTGGTGTATTTACAAAGGAGCTATTTCGTAACAGATTCATAGTTACTCCCGCCGTTTACCCGCGCTTGGATGAATTACTTCACTTTGACACTCAGAGCACTGGGCAGAAATCACATTGCGTCAACACCAATCACTAGCCATCGCAATGCCTTGTTTTAATTCAACAGTCTGATTCCCCTTGTCCGTTCCAGTTCTAAGTTGGTTGTTAATTGCCTGCCGAATCGACCTGACGGTCACAGCTGAGATAATCCACGCGAAGTCCCTTCGAAGTCCGACTCCGCAGCAAGCCACGCATCTCCGTTAGCCCACGCCGAGTCCGTTCCAGTTCTAAGTTGGTTGTTAATTGCCTGCCGAGTCGACCTGACGGTCCCAGCTGAGATAATCCACGCGTAGTCTCTTCGCAGTCCGACTCCGCAGCAAGCCACGCATCTCCGTCAGCCCACGCCGAGTCATCACACTTCAAGTCTCAGCCCGACAGACCCAACCTATAGATCCAATCTTTTTCCCAAAGTTACGGATCTATTTTGCCAACTTCCCTTACCTACATTGTTCTATCAACTCGAGGCTGCTCACCTTGGAGACCGGCTGCGGTTATTAGTACGACCAGACAAGAAAATGAACCACTCCCTCGGATTTTCAAGGGCCATCAAAAGCGCACCGAACTCCGCAAGAAGTGTGAGGCCTTACTGGACGTGAAAACCTATCTCCGGCTAAATAGATTTCAGGGTAACTTTGTCCGTAAAAAAGAAAAGAGAACTCTTCCCCGGGCTCTCGCCGACGTCTCCGAGTTCGGATGCGTTGCCACTTGTGCCACTAGGTGGCAGTATCCCTGTTCTGGTTCGGGAATATTAACCCGATTCCCTTTCGATTGGCGGTACGCTTTGTAACGGAAATTCCCTATCTCTTAGGATCGACTAACCCATGTCCAACTGCTGTTCACATGGAACCTTTCTCCACTTCAGTCTTCAAAGTTCTCATTTGAATATTTGCTACTACCACCAAGATCTGCACCAGTGGCCGTTTCAACCTGGCTTACGCCAAAGGCTTCGTCCCCACCACTGCGCCCTCCTACTCGTCAAAGCATTGCACTTGCTTTGACGGGCGAGTATAGGTGCAACGCTTGAGCGCCATCCATTTTCAGGGCTAGTTGATTCGGCAAGTGAGTTGTTACACACTCCTTAGCGGATTCCGACTTCCATGGCCACCGTCCTGCTGTCTATATCAACTAACACCTTTTGTGGGATTTGATGAGCGTCGACTTTGGCACCTTAACTCAGCGTTTGGTTTATCCCGAATCGCTAGTTCTGCTTACCAAAAATGGCCCACTAAGAGCTCGCATTCGAATGTCCAACTTTAGTTAAGCAAGTTGGACTTCTTACCAATTTAAAGTTTGAGAATAGGTTAAGGTCATTTTGACCCTAAGACCTCTAATCATTCGCTTTAACTGATAAAAATGCACAAAGAAATCCAGCCATCCTGAGGGAAACTTTGGAGGGAACAAGCTGCTAGATGGTTCGATTAGTCTTTTGCACACTATACCCAAATTCGACGATCGATTTGCACGTCAGAATCGCTACGAGCTTCCACCAGTGTTACCGCAGGCTTCATTCTATTCAGGCATAGTTCACCATCTTTCGGGTCCTAACAGATACGCTCTTACTCAAACCTCTCTGAGAGCAGAATAGGTCGGTCAATGATGCAATCTCAATGAGACTCCCCACCTTAACTGTCTAGGTCAGTCTTTACTTTCAATGTGCCCACAGGTTTCGATCATGCTTAGATTTGCGCACATGTTAGACTCCTTGGTCCGCGTTTCAAGACCGGTCGGATATAGCCGTATGATCGTCAGCACCCTTAACGTATAATGTGCAAACACCAACAGTCAAATGTCGGATAGAAAAGTTGGGTTGCCATCAAAGCGCACGTTGCAGTGCCATGGTTGTCATCAAACTATGCGAATGCAAGGCTTAACAAAGATTAAATTCGTCAACCTTCATGGCAATCTTATCGCTCAACAACAACCAATGCTGACGCTCGTTTGCCAAAAGTTCGCTGCCTGCACTTTGCACCCGCACACACCTTGCCCATGCTAATCATGAGCGCGCACGTTGCATGCAACTGAATCTGAAAAACGAATTGCTAACTCCATTCGCTTCCCTTTCAACGCTTTCACGTACTTTTTAACTCTCTTTTCAAAGTCCTTTTCATCTTTCCCTAACGGCACTTGTTCGCCATCTGTCTCGTGCCCATATTTAGCTTTAGATGGAGTTTACCACCCATTTTTGGCTGCATTCTCAAACAACCAGACTCTTCGAAAAACCTCGAAATCACCTCGCAAACACAAGAGCCTTGCCACGTACAGGGTTGTCACCCTCTATAACGTGCTGTTCCAAGCAACTTAGGCAGGCCCGTCGTGCCGGGAAAGTATTTCTCGAAACTACAATTCGCCATTGCAACACAACGGAGATTTTCAATTTGAGCTATTCCTTCTTCATTCGCCATTACTGGTGGAATCCATGTTAGTTTCTTTTCCTCCGCTTATCAATATGCTTAAATTCAGCGGGTAATCTTGCCTGATCTGAGGTTAAGATGTACGCACATGCACAATTTGGCTGGTCATCACGAGCGTTGCCACTTCATGTTGCCACAACAAGGTTGCAAGTTTAGCTTTTTGCCTTGTTTGTTGCAAGAGGGCTACAAACGTGCTGTACTTAGAAGAACGCGACGGCATTAGCATATTGCTATCTCCCACGACACTTCATTCAACTTTCAGTAAGACATTGCATGCTGGAAGTTAACGTTTATAACCAACACTCAGACAGGCATGCTCCCGGTATAACCAAAAGCGCAATTTGCGTTCAAAGATTCAATGATTCACAATATATTCTGCAATTAACCTTACGTATCGCAGCTGGCTGCGTTCTTCGTCAATGCACCAGCCAAGAGATCCACCGTTAAAAGTTGTAAACATTATTTCTTCTATTTTTGTAATCACACAACTGTCAAACATTAAGTTGAATAAATAATACGAGAGAGGCCGGGAAATTGCAAAGACAGGCTTATTTGAGTTTGCACAACACATTCTGCTCCACATTGTTGCTTCCATCTACCCATTTAAGGACGTAGAATTGTCCACCTGCCATTTAGTTATAAGGTTCACAGAGTTCTTCGATTGTGAAGGTAGATTTTAGCAACCTAACACAAGCGAAATGTTAGTGTACGGTGATGATCCTTCCGCAGGTTTACCTACGAATGATCTATCCCCAGCACAACGATGATTCAAACGATTACCCACACCTTTTGGTGAAGGAGCAACTCGTTGCCATCGTCAGTTAAGCACGCGTGCGGCCTAGGACATTTAAGGGCATCACAGACTTGTTATCGCCTTCATGACTTTGATTAAACACACAACAGTCCCTCTAAGAAGTCGAGAGTGATTCGTGAATCGTCTGACTATTTAGCAGATCAAGGTCTCGTTTGTTAACGGAATTAACCAGACAAATCACTCCACCAACTAAGAACGGCCATGCACCACCACCCATAGAATGAAGAAAGAGCTCTCAATCTGTCAATCATTACTATGTCTGGACCTGGTGAGTTTTTACCTGTTGAGTCAAATTAAGCCGCAAGCTTCACTCCTGGTGGTGCCTTTCCGTCAGTTCCTTTAAGTTCAGCTTTGCAACCATACTTCCCCCGGAAACCAAAGATTTTGGTTTCCCATAAGGTGACAACGAGGTCATCAAATAACACTTGCTGATCCTTAGTCGGCATCGTTTATGGTTAGAACTAGGACGGTATATGATAGTCCTCGATCCTCCAACATTCGTTCTTGATTAATGAAAACATTCTTGGCAAATGCTTTCGCATTAGTTCGTCTTTCGTAAATCCAAAAACTTCACCTCTGACAACGAAATACGAATGCCCCCAACTGTCCCTATTAATCATTACTTTGGTTCCAGAAACCAACGGAAAATTGAGCCAAAGTCCTATTCCATTATTCCATTATTCCATATGTATTCAAGCAAAAGCCTTCTTTGAACCCTCTAATTTTTTCAAAGTAAACGTCGCGTATCCAACACACACAGTCAGTTAAGAGCACGCGAAGTCTGCGCGAAGAAGGCCAACGCCGACAGTAGCATACCTTGCGGCAGACCGTCGTCGTCGAGTCCGAAATCCAACTACGAGCTTTTTAACTGCAGCAACTTTACTACAAGCTATTGGAGCTGGAATTACCGCGGCTGCTGGCACCAGACTTGCCCTCCAATTGGTCCTCGTTAAGACATTTAAATTGTACTCATTCCAATTACAAGACTACAAAAATGCCCTGTATTTTTATTTTTTGTCACTACCTTCCCACGTCAGGATTGGGTAGTTTGCGCGCCTGCTGCCTTCCTTGGATGTGGTAGCCGTTTATCAGGCTCCCTCTCCAGAATTGTACCCCAATTCTCCTTCACCCGTTGCAACCATGTTAAGCCACTACCTTACCATCAACAGTTTTTATAGGGCAGAAATTTGAATGAAACATCGCCGGCACAAAGTTAAAAGGCCATGCGATTCGAATAGTTACCATGAGTCATCAATGGGTTGAGCGGCCGTGAAGCCAAATTGGTTTTTAATCTAATAAATACATCCCTTCCGCAAAAGCCGGGACTTTTTTGCATGTATTAGCTCTAGAAATACTACGGTTATCCATTAGTAAGTGGTACAATCAAATAAATGATAACTGATTTCATGAGCCATTCGCAGTTTCACAGTACAAGTGCTTACACTTAGACATGCATGGCTTAATCTTTGAGACAAGCATGTAATACTAGCAGGATCAACCAATCAACCTCCAATTGCTGAGATAAACTTAGGAACAGCATATGTGCTAGAAACTGTTTTGGTTTATGTTTCTCTCGCATGGAGTTGCTCTTCAAAACAAAGAGCAATTATCCATCTTTTTGCCACGTCTTTTAAAGGCATTGCAATTGATGTAAGCATTGACAAGGAACACATACCATAATGGTTCAATGTGCATTATGTTTACAACAAATGCAAGTTTGTGAAGGAAGCATGAAGAATTGCTTCCCTTCATATGCTACATTGGTTTAGTACATATCAGTGTCCATTGGAAAGAATGTACAACACTCACAAACCAAATGAATCACCTCAACTGCGACAAAATTTTTTCACATTTTTTTTTATTTTGCACGAAAGCAGTGAAAAAGCAAGACCAAATTTACGATAAACCGACTGGTGATTCATCACGTCACACAAAGTTCGTTTCTCATTTGTACTTATTTGTGAAGCATACTCACCTCACATTATATACCAAATAACCAATTCCCTTTTCCCAATACTTGGAGGGATAAACACAGAAAGGTCACCGTGACTCATTTTTTCTCTCTTACATAGGTTTTATGATGGTCCCCGCGACTCATTTTTCCCCTTGCAGAGAGGTCTTCTAATGTTCACTGCGACTCAATTTTCTCCTGTTAAAGAGGGGCCTTTGTAGTTAACCATGACATATAGTTTTTTTTCTAACATAAAAAAACTAAAATTATAAATTTTAAACAAAATATCAGTTGATCAGCTAAGGATTTTAGCTGGTTGCATAAATCTTTCAGATTGCAGCAATAGCACTTAAACGTCATTCTTATTAGAAGGTTCTATCACTGTTTAACACAACGCCGATGTACATATTGTCTCACTGTGCATGTGCAGTTTGAGCACTCTTGCTATGTTTACAGGCTCTCATAATGAGACGTTTCCCATTTTTGCATTATGGAAAAGCTTGTCGTTTTAGGTCTGAGCACTCTGCTGACTCAACTATACAGTCCATACAATGTATAACCGTACATCCTGTGTTCTAAGTTCAGGAGTCACAATTTCACTACGAGGATAGCAACGAAGTACATTGATATACACTTTCTATTTATTTTTATACATGTCATACACATAATAATGTGATTTATTTTGAAGAAGTTATTATGGTCAAACATGTGTCCTGGTTATAAAGGCGTGTATTTAAACATTTTAATGATAGATAATTTTCAACTTAGCTATAAGACAACTTCAGTGTAATTTAATACAATATTTATATCATACAGTGAGATTCTGTGAAATATATAAGATAGAAATTGATACAGTTTAGGTGTTACAGGGACCGCAGAGAGGTTTGAAAAGTGGGGGAGGGGGGCAAAAGAAAGTGGCAGAATCGGATTGTTGTTGCAAGTATAGTTAATTTGTTTTTGACAGTTTTATCGGTAATCATTCAATATACAAAAATTGTTTGATTTCGTGTGTTCAAACTGAGTGCTCTGGCACGGTGTTCAGGCACGGGCACCAATGTGAACGAAAAATTTTGATGGTGCTTGTGTATAAGTGCCCGGGTCTGGGCACCACGAAAGAGGTATTACTAAAGTACAGTGCTTGGCACGGGCACCAATGTGAACACAAAATTTTAGATGGTGGCCAGGTATAAGTGCCCATGTCTGGACATCACGAAAAGAGGTATTACCCAAGTACGGTGCTTGGCACGGGCACCGATGTGAACGACGACACCTGTGTAATTGGTAGAGAAAGGCATTCATTCAGCACATGGTTTTAAAACTTGTTTACAATGAAAAACATGAAATTATAAATAGACGAGATTAGTGGGTACTAGGTAGTGTGGACGACCTGCAGATTTTTGCCAGAACCAGGGTATCGTACTCCGGCAATTAGTTTGAACGTGCTAAAATTAATCGATGTAACGTCAACTAAAAATGAAAGTGGAACATAGGTGAGACATAAATTACTGTTAAACATCCATACGTATCAAATGAAAGTATTTTCCTGGAGCTGATTTTTATACTTTTACACTTTACAAAGCAAGAGATATTGAAAAAAGTGTGTGGGTAGCAATTGCCACCCTTCTCCGCCCCCCTGCTGATATTCACGCTCAATAGACAATTTACAAATTATTAGTGATTAGGGACAAGATACAGGATGTGCCTAGCACAAGTGCTTAGTTAGAGAAAGGGAGAAACAAAGGATATATTTGCTCCTAATATATCTTATACATGGCGATTCCTGCAACAATATAAGTCATTGAAAGCTTCAAAATCTCTAGCACCTATTTACCTTAATAAAGTAAATCGTGTGAACCCGGGAATATCGTAACATGTTTGTAGATGAAGATCGTCCAGGTTAGTATAGTCCTGAGAAAGACTGTTGGTATTGATCTAGACTGACGTTTCGACAACTTTAGTGGTAGTCATCTTCAGAAGAGACAACCTTAGCGGTAGTCATCTTCAGAAGAGACCACCTTAGCGGTAGTCATCTTCAGAAGAGACAACCTTTGTGGTAGACATCTTCAGAGTCTTTTGACAACCTTAGCGGTAGACATCTTCAGAAGAGACAACCTTAGAAGAGACAACACATTACTTTGGACTAATCCACGATAGCAATACACAATTGATACCCCCACACACACATTTTCTGTACACACAATACAATGACGTAAGAACCAGATAACAAATACGGCTTACCTGATTTTTACTCCTCACTTGACTCTAACGATGACTACCGCGTCGTCAGTCTACATCTTTATCAACAGTCCTTTTCGGGACTCTATACTAACCTGGACGATCTCCATCCCAAAAAATGTTACAAATAATTACAATTTATTTTTTAAAGCAGGAAGACCCAAATACCAACAAAACTCTCAAAATTGGTAAATACTTGATTCATCATAGTGGGTTTTACTTTTGTTTTAATGCTAAACTTTAAGCTTTCCTTCCAACGAACAAAACGGAGGAGATCGTTTTAAAGTTTGAGAAAGCAAAAAACGTTCTTGTCATACGCACTTTACTTTTATTAAACAACCACTTGTTAGAAATACGTGAGCATTCTATAAAGAAAAATTCCACCAAATAACCATATAAAAGCAACATGTTTAAAATATGTTAGTTTTATGTCATGTAAAAATCCAATTTTAATTTTCATAGCTAGAGTTAATTACTTTCGCGTTCTTTGTAAATATAACATTTCTAAACGATAAATTTCTTTTTTTCTGTCGTTGATTTTGAACACAAAAATGTAAAGACCATTTATTTAGTTCGTGGAGCTTACATCAGATGGGACTTTGATTTAAAGAAAGGAAAAGCTATCAAAATTCTGGTTGGGCAAAAAGCACTTGTTAATGCTTTTTACCAATCTTCAGGAGGAGGTGGAGGTTCTTTTGTTGCAAGGAACAACAATGTTCCACTACTGGTTGCTGGAGGAGGTGGCGGTTTAGAAAATCTTAACAAACGTCTAGATATGATACTAGACAATTCTTCATATGATACTTTCTTTTTTATCATTTCACGCCATTTTATAAATTAATTGATCCATTTACTTTGTAAAGTGACAAATTTTTGCCATCCTAACCGTAATAAAGTGTGTAAGACTTTATATATAGGTTATTTGAAAAGGAAAGCCTTTGAGTAGCTAAGCCAGTTATAATTGTAACTTTACTAAAGTCAACTTGATGGCAAGAGTTGTTCTTCTTGCTTTCCTTAGGAGCTCAACAACATTTATCTTTTTGTATGTTATGTAAACGAGCAAAATACTGTAGAAAATAATTGTGTGAATTCAGTGGTGCCGAAGATGAGGCAGTTACCCTCTCGGTTAAAACACGGATGGGCCTCAAAACACATGTTTGTATGACATTAGCTCATCCGTCCATAATTTTTCATCCACATCTATTATCCGTCCGTCCGTATCCGCGTTTTACTTAACCCAATTTAAACAATCATTGATTAAAAATACGTAAATCGCATATTTCTGACATTGTTAACTACTGTTCCACACAAGTCAAGATAATTTAATTTAAAATTTGTTTCATGAAACATGACATGTAGTCTATAAGTCTTCGTCACGCAATAAATCTTTTGAATCTTTGAACTAAATTAATGTCTTACTTAAATCAAATGTTTCTTTTTTTCTTGCCATTTGTATTTTGCAGACATGAATTGAGAGCATAAATGTTTAAAACAGTGCACTAAAAAAAGTTGTTGGTGTGTTGGTATACCGTTGCTTACTCAAATACTCTTGAGTGCTTGCTATACTCGGTGTTCTCTGACACTTTGCTGCCACATATGGATAAGGTATATTTAAACACTCGAAACAATTTTATAAGCACCTTTCTTATGTTGGTGTGATTGTAATAATATTGCTAACTTGTGCCATGAGTCAAGCAAAAGAATGATTGTTTGTGTTCTCCAATTTACTGCAGGCCCCTACAAGTCACGAAACAAAGGCAGTTTCTTTTATTGGAAAAAAGTTGGAAGTAACATCTTAATTTTGTAATTACTATTGCATGATCAAAGTTGAGGTATTTACAAAGACGCAATGTCTTTAGAGTGAAGAGTTGTTTTAAAATGTTTGTCTACTTCATTATAAAGTATTTAATATACTTTTGCATTTTTAATTGTTCCTATATTGATCTAGGAAACATTGTCTGAAAATTCATATCTACCACGATACATTAAATGTCTTACTGCAATTTGATGTTGTTTCCTATTCTTTTCCAGCAAGCAAACGATTGTTTTTAGTCTAATTTTTGTGTCTTATCATATATTGTTTTATTAACGAATTTCAAATGTCATCATAGCACATGATCACAAGTGAACAAGACAAAGTAATTGCTGCAGACTATTTTTAGCTTTATAAGTTAAAGTATGTTCTTTTATAAACACAATTAATTTATTGCTCCAAATAAGTGTACTGATGTGGTACTCTTTGATTTTAAAACGGCTATTGATATTTATTGTTACTAGGACTGCCATACTCAGCATAGCCATTAGCCAACGCTCTATGTAGCTATTTTTGATTTCCTGCTGTAATTAATGTTTGTGTCAGGAAAATATCAGAAAGAGATTGATCAGGGGAAAAACCTTATTTGAAACATTTTTGAATCTGTCGGTAGCTACATGTAAATATAGATTTTAATTCTACTATTCTTCATCATGATAAGCAAAGGTACAACATGCCTTTTCATATATCTATGTAATACAACAACAACTTTCATATTTTTCCTTATAGAACTGTATTTTTTTGGGGAAGGAATATAGAAAATTGAGACACCTGGATGGGCTTTATGTTTGAGGTTTTGTTTATAAAATTTGTTATAATCAATGCTGGTTTTTTAAAGTATCTTAATGTCACTAAAGTAACATGTGTTATTTGAAATACTACAACATAAAAATAACACCAAAATTTGCAACGTTTCGCGTTATCTGTAATTGCAAAATGTTCTGTCCACTTAGTTTAATAAAAAAGGAACAATATTTATAAACAAAAGTTAAAGAATATTTGAAGAACCAATAAACTCAACTTGATCTAGATTCCAAGTATTTTAAAAATTTCCCCTCTTTTTGACTATTAAAGAGTTCCTCTAATAAAGCTCTAAATTTTGTGTATTTACCTTCTAGTATAATAAGCATACCTTCTATTTTCTCCGTATAAACGTGTAAATTTGAAGGGAATTTAGCATGAGCAGTATCATCAGACTTTATTTCTTTGAAAAATATATAAAAGTAGAGCAAGTGAACAATAGCGTAAAATAGAAGGATGCTTTTTATAATAAATATGTTTCTAGAGAAAGACTGGATTAATTTGAGTTTATAAAGTTTACTAGATTAAATAAAAAAGAAAAAACCAAGAATTCAGTTCTTCAAGAAAATTACTAGAATTGAGCTAAACGTTCTTTCGAAGAACAAAGATATTTATTAATCTCGGATTTTAATCTAGCTTTTTAAAGTAATAAAGAAATTTTTTAGAATCCAAGTATTGTAAAACTTGTATTTTTCTTTAAACATTCAAAACTAAAAAACTGAAAAATGTAAAACTTTATTTATGTCCTAATTTTTACTTAAGTTTTTTTAGTTTTCTAATTTATACGAACAAAAGTTAGAAGCAAGTAGTAGAAAGTTTTTTAACTCGTCATATATAGAACAAACAAAATGTATTTGTAATAAATATAACCAGCCCCAGCCTTGTAGCTATGATAAAAAGCAAGAACAATTTTAAATAAAGTACTTGAGATTTTTTAAAGCATACGTTTATATTAAGTAAAAAGCAGATACTTAAAAAAGTAAAATAGTTGAACCTAAGCAAAGTCAAAAAAATTGTATTTAGGCATATCAGTTTGGAAACAATTAGGAGGAAAAGGCTCTCAGTAGTTTCTAGCCCTAAATTGCAAACCACATAGTAAAACATAAGACAAAAAGAAAACAAGGAAAAGTTTACCAAAAACAAATTTTAGTTGCAATTGTCTTTGGTTCTTAGTAGTTTAATTGAGTTTAGTTTTATTTATATGTTAAAAGAGATTTAAAATAATTTTGCTCCCAAATATATATTGAAGTGCATTACATTGTTCTCAATTTGCTAATCTTTCTTATCTACTTTAAGATAGCTCTACAAAAGGACTATATATAAGAGAATTTGACTAGATAAATGCCCAGGATGGTTAAACGTCCTAAAATAAGATCATTACTCGAAGTAAATCCAATTCCAATTTTACAAGAAACAGCTTTAACTAATTTTATCAATATTCCTGAAATTGTTTTTTTTCTGTTCAGATCGAGCCAAACATAATAGAAAAAGAAGTCATGAATTGTAAACAATAAAGACTAAAAAAATTTCGTATGAAATTTCAAACACTTCAAAAGTTACACTTTAAAACGCTGATATGTGCAATAATATACAAAAATAAAGATGAACAAACCAATACTGTTCAAAGATTCATTAAAAACAACATGATCCAAAGCAAATGATTTTTTTTCGAATTGCCTGCGCTTTCTTATAAAATTCTTTTGTTTGTCATTTTCTTTTATAGAATGAAACACATTACCAAGATATTTTAATGTCGTAGCTACATCAACATGTTCAGGACCAAGTGCTTTTTGTTGAATTTCCAACGCTTTTTCATAACACTCTTTGGCTTTGGCATATTTGTTGATATTATAATACACATTGCCAAGATCGTTTAAAGTCGTAGCTACATCAACATGTTCAGGACCAAGTGATTTTTGTTGAATTTCCAACGCTTTTTCATCATCCTCTTTGGCTTTGACTAATTTGTTGGTATCATAATACACATTACCAAGATTGTTCAAAGTCGTAGCTACATCAAGACATAAAGACAAATAAGCTTAATTGACAAAAACTGGACCCATTGACTCAGTTAACCCTCTGATCTGATAATAGTCTGGTTATATAGCTTCTATAGGTATCACAAAAGTGAAGCCCGATTATAAGTTCAAGGATGCGACAAATTAGACTTTTGCATGGACTGTTTTAAATAGGACACAAACGGCAATATTTCTTGGCCACAGAAAGCATTTTGATGTCAAATTCAATTGAATTACTCCTTCTACCCATGACGTATATTTTCATATCCATCACCGAAAAACAAAGAAAATCATTCATATCATTCGACATAGTTGACTTTTACCCATCGATCACCGAACACCTACTGGACAAATGCCTAGCGTGGGCAAAACAATACACAACAATCACAGAAAAAGACCACACCATTATAAAACACGCAAGAAAATCACTTCTTTTCCACCAAAACAAATCATGGTCCAAACGCAACGCTACCAACACGTTTGATGTAACCATGGGCAGCTATGATGGAGCGGAAGTTTGCGAGCTTGTAGGGCTATTCTTACTCGACCGACTACAGCAGCGGTACGGAAGCAACGTCGGCTTATACCGTGACGATGGCCTTGCAGTCATAAATACGAAATCTGGAAGACTCTGCGACAAAGAAAGAAAAACCCTCTCACACCTATTTGACGAGCTTGGACTAAAAATCACAGCGATGACAAACCATGAACGGACAAACTTCCTTGACGTAACATTTGACCTTAGCAACGACACCTACAAACCATATAGAAAACCCAACGACGAGCCCTCTACATTCACAGATCTTCCAACCACCCACCATCAGTATTACGCCAACTACCCACATCCATCAACAACCGAATTAACACACTCTCATCTGACAAAGACACCTTCGAAAATGCCGCACCAATTTACAACCAAGCTCTTAAACAAAGCAACTTCACCACCCAACTCACCTTTAATCCATCAAACATCAATGTAAACACCACGTACAACAGAAAACGTAACGTCACTTGGTTTAACCCACCATACAGCAAAACGTAAAACTCACATCGCCCATGACTTCCTACAACTTATCGACAAACATTTCCCACCAAATACTATACTCTCCAAGATATTCAACCGACACACAATACGCGTAAGCTACAGCTGCGGCGAAAACATGAAAACTTTCATAACCAGACACAACAAGACTATTTTAAAAGACTTAACCCAGACACAACCCAGAACAAGAACAACCCACCAAAGAAATGTAACTGCAGACAGAAACATCTATGCCCGACAAATGGCAATTGCCTGAAACCCAACGTGATTTACAAAGCCGACGTGACAACGACTGACAACAACGAAACAAAACTTACATAGGTGTTACTGCATGCGCTTTTAAGACACGATATCGAAACCACATTAAATCAATTACGAACATTAAATACCGCAACGAGACAGAACTTTCTAAATACACGTGGACACTGAAAGAAAACAAACGTAACTACAACATTAAATGGGACTTCATCAAACAACTTCCACCTCCGAACAAAACCAAAGAACGTCTTTGCCTTGAAGAAAGGCTACTTATCCTGAAAGGACGTAAAAGAACATTTTAAATAAACGTTCCGATATGTTTAGTGCATGCCGTCATGTAACTTAACTTTTAGTCGATGTATATAGTCAGCAAATAAAATATTATCTGTCAGTTGCCTGAAGATCGCCCTACGGCGTAGAGACAGCAAACAATTGTCCATTTTATTTTAGTTCATTTTATCTTACGCTCTTCTAATATATAGAATATTGAGCGCTCTTTTATCCAGGAATATTATCCATAATAATATATATATATATATATATATATATATATATATATATATATATATATATATATATATATATTTAAAATGAACTAAAATAAAATGGACAATTGTTTGCTGTCGCTACTGGAGTTTCACGCCGTAGGGCGATCTTCAGGCAACTGACAGATTATATATTATTTGCTGACTATATACATCGACTAAAAGGTGTTAAGTTACATGACGGCATGCACTAAACATATCGGAACGTTTATTTAAAATGTTCTTTTTACGTCCTTTCAGGATAAGTAGCCTTTCTTTCTAAGAACCTGCCGTCTTTGCCCAGAACCTGCCGTCTTTGCCTTGACAAGAAAATACAAATATTTGTATTTTCTTGTCTGTGTAAGTTGAGAAAATTACACAACAACATTATTGGCATGTGCACTTAATGAAAGTGAGCATGTGTCTTTCATTGTCTTTCAGTTATAAGTAAAACAAAAAGGAATGGACACATATACATAATGCGTACCTTTAGAAACTTTCATTTTAGTGCAGGTATTACATTTGTGCAAGTTTTGAATTTTGTTAACTCAAACTGCATGATTAGATTTATTATATACAATTTGTTTAGCGTGATATTAAGCAATTATTGAATGAAGTAGTATATGAATTAAGACTTATGAAGGCCAAGGTTTGTTTAATCTACCAATGCTGAGGCAGATAAAACACATTGATGCCTTGATAATTCTTTATATTACGTAAAAACCAATTCAATAATTGTTTTATGATTTATATAAAAAAGCAAGTGTTGCTTAAATGTGAAAAAGGTGTCGTAACGATTAAAGTTTTGTTCACTTGTTTTGTTTCTCGTGCGTATGAGATGGCGATGTAGCGCAAGGTAGTTTCTTATATCCGACTTACGTACGTAGTGGCATTCATATAAGTGGATTTATTCGATTGCTTTTAAATGAATAAACTAAGAAATATTATGATCCATATGTTTATATAAATTAGATTAAGAAGATATGCATATAGCAGACGATTCAGTTTTCCATTTAAGTGGCATCTCTTACAGATAAATATGTCAATGTTGTTGTAGGTGGTAAGACAAATAAAAATGATATATAGACTAACATTTTCTAATAATCATATATGTTATTTTCTTGCAGGTCCGAAAAGGCAACTTATTGGAATCGGCTTAATTAGCATTTTTGTAAATATGTATATTAAAACACGCACAGCAAAGTACATGAATTATAACTTGATTATATGGAAATTAAACTTTAGTTCGTATCTTTGAAAAGGCTGTTTTATGATTTCACAAACAATGCATCATTAATTGTCTGTTAAATGAACGTCGGATAAACGTCAGGTAAACGTTGTATGAACGTCGGATAAACGTTGTATGAACGTTGTATAAACGTCGGGTTTAAGTTGAAATACGTTACATCCCAACGTTCATCCTAACGTCGCCACCACGTTCCTACGAGTTCACAAAAAAACGTTCACCCAACTTTGTCCCGACGTTGAGTCAACGTTAGAGGAACGTTGGAACGCATTTGAAATGTTTTATTTTGATTGTCTCTTAGATCACTTCTTTGTTTGATTAACCAATCAGGAGCAAATTTTTTTAAAAAAATTGCACTCCATTTCCCTTTCCCTGCACCGTGTTTCTTATATTTTTCCACTGGTATTCACAATAAATTGCACTGCTCTTAATTAACCAATGAGAACTTAGAAATTTTTTCATGTATATTATTAAAGCGTAAATCAATAAAACCAATCCAGTGTTGGCTTCTGAGATTTACATAAAAATGGCAATTTTAAAAAATTGACAAATGACTTTTTAATTTCAGTTTAACAATATTTAGGAACATTTTTACCTTTATGAAGAACGTCTTCAGCCAAATTATTTTTCTCGATCTTGCGTAAAGCGGCGGCAAGTTCTTCGTACAACAACTGCTTATTTTCTCGTGATTCAAACCAAAACTTTAGCATTTCAAACCCTTGCCAGATCACTTTACGATTTTCTAGTTCAATTTCTTTTATTCTCGCATCTCTGACATTCAGAAATATTGCCAAATTCTTCCATATATCGGGAATTTCTTGGGCAATCTCTAGCAGAATTTGGTTAATTTCTGCAAAAAATACACATTTAAAAGCAAGTTAATAGCATTTTTTACTTTTGAAGAAAATGTTGGACATCCTACATCAACTATATAAATATACATAGCATGAGACTTGGTAAAATACATCAAAGGTGTGTCGTGTTGATTTTAATACAACTATGGATAACAATATCATAGTGCTTTCAGTAGTAATGTGTCAAAATGCTAGCACCAAATTAGCGTGATCTACTTTGGAAATTTTATCAAAGTGCGTTTTGCTACGGTAAAATTGATTCGTATTTTTTTGCATCATTTAAACTGCATACGCATTTAATATACACCACAAGTTCTTTTGAAAATAGACATGTTTCGACATCTTATGATGTCATCTTCAGTATGAGTAATATAATAAGTGATACAAGGTTTATATAATATGATATGATACATAAATTACAACAATAAAAAGGAAATAAGATAAATGAATGGAGAGCGTCCGAGCGTATTATAAACCAAATATTGTATTGAATTTAAAAACTTGAACATTGAGGTCAGGGTTAGTTTTGTTAATGTGGAGTGCTTCTTTGATTTTAAGGGTGAATGAGGTGCTGGCAGTGTCGATAATTTTGAAGCAAGAGGGTGAATAGTTTGTTTTAGATGAGTGAGATTTAAGAAGGTGTAGGTAGATATGAGAGTTTTTGTCTGTTGTTGTAGAGTTTTTATTAAGTGACCTTCCTATGTAAATGTCCTCTTAATATATACATTATAAGCGGAAGTAATATTCAACAGGAAGTGACGTCTACACATCTTCCCTTTTTAAGTAATATAAAAACTAATTGTAATAAATATTTATACCTATATAAATATACAAAAAGTATCTTTCGAAAGTTTTCTAAGTTCAATCTATTTAGGGGTTTACTCCCATTTCAGTAAAAAGAAATTAAATGAAGGTTAAAGGATTAAAGTAATGCGTTAACTGACTACTTTTCAAGATTTCATCAAAAAATAAGAATTCAGAAACATTAAAATTTTTTTACAAACTGTGTTCGAGAATCTTTCAAAATGGCGGCATGACACTAAACTCATATTGTTTGAAAAAGACTTTTCAAAACACGGGTGCTGATTAGTGCAATGCTCGAAAAAACCGTGTCTATAAAACCCTTTGTTGCACGAGAGTTTTAGTCTCCAAAAATTCTTGAAAAAGTTGCGTGGTTATTGCGGAATTTATTGTCTTTATATTCTTCTTAAAACGTTATTTCATAAAGAAAATAAAAAAAATTATTTGCCCAGTCCTATTGATATATATAAAAACTGTAGAGTTTTTATTAAATCTCTCTCCTATCTAAATGTCCTCTATATATATACATTATAAGCGGAAGTAATATTCAACAGGAAGTGACGTCTACACATCTTCTCTTATTAAATAATATAAAGAATAACTAATTAATAATAAATATTTATACCTATATAACTATACAAAAAGTATCTTTCAAAAGTTTTCTAAGTTCAATCTATTTGGGAGTTTACTAATTCTTCCTGGACGGGTTCGAATTACCTTCGAATCCAGTTCATTGTCCAAAGTACTTGAAGATTCGTTTACTTTATTCTTATCACTGAAACTCAGCTTTCTTCTTTCGTTCAACTCACTGTTTTCCCTCAGATTTTCAGGATCAGGGATAAGATGTTTTCTATTTCTTCTTAAAACAGACTGCTCCGTCCTGACTATATATGATATTGGTTTATCAGTTTTTCCCACAACTACAGCTGGTGATTTTATATCTTTTACCCAAACCTTTTTATCATTACTCAAGTCTGGAAGGACTTGAAGCTCTGTGACGACAATTAAAGTTTTCTGCTTGACGTCGTTTGTAACTTTTTTCGTCCCTTCTCAATTTTGCCGTATCAGCAAGCTTTGGAGTTAACTTTTCGGATATTACTGGTAGATTAGAACGTAATTTCCTTCCCATTAATAATTCTGCTGGTGAGTACCCGTTCTGCAATGGTGATGATCTGTATGCAAGTAAACCTGAATAAGGATCTTCGGATTTTATGATTAAGTTCTTTGCAGTTTTTACAGCTCTTTCTGTTTCTCCATTACTTTGAGGATAGCGAGGACTACTTGTTAAATGTGTAAATCCCCATTCTTCAGCAAATTTGGAAAAAACAGCTGCAGCATACTGTGGACCATTATCCGACACAACTGTTTCTGGTATACCATGACGAGAAAATATGGATTTTATATGATTGATAACATCTTCTGCAGTTGTGCTTTTTTTCAAAGGAGCAATTTTAAAATATCTCGAATAATAATCTACTACAAGCACATAATTTTTTTCGCTATGTTCAAACAAGTCTGTAGCAACTTTCTGCCACGGTCGTTGAGAAAAACACGTTGTTAGTAAGGGCTCTGCATGATTTTCTCTGTATTTACAACAAATGGAACAATCAGTAACCATGTTTTCAATGTGCTTACTTAGTCCAGGCCACCAAACAGATTCTCTTGCTCTTTCACGACACTTACGGATGCCTTGATGGCCAGCATGAATCTTTTCTAGAATATATAAACGTAGCGATGATGGAATTATCAAGCGGGAGTCTTTCATTAACATTCATTTCTGCATTGTTATTGTTGCTCTTTTAAAGTAATAAGGTAACAAGATACTAGTAATTCGATTTCGGTCCGGCCAACCTTCCGAACAAAATTCAACAAGTTTCGTACAAATCGGATGTTCTTGTTGGTGTCGGCGAATTTCTTCTAGCCTTCTCTCACTAGCTGGTATGTTTTGAACAGTCTGTGCAACATAAATGTTCAACTCTTGGGATAAATTGTTATCAGATTTTGTAGGTTGTTTCATAATAGGAGCTCGAAACAATACATCCGCTGCAACCAACTCTTTTCCTGGTATGTGACGATTACCAAACGAATATTTCATCAGCCTCATCTTGAATCTCAATATTCTTGGAGGAAGTTGGTCTAATATCTTTGAGCCAAGCAGAGGAACAAAGGGTTTATGATCAGTTTCTATCACAAAATCCATTCCTAAAATATAATCATTAAATTTCTCACAAGCCCAAGTTGTTGCCAACGCTTCATTTTCAATCTGAGCATATCGTTCTTCGGTAGTTGTCATTGATATTGACGCATAAGCAACTGGTTCCTTTTCTCCTTTCTTATTTAATTGCCAAAGAACTGCTCCTATACCATACGACGATGCGTCGGCTGGCAAAACAGTTCGCTTCGTTGGGTCATAATAGGCTAAAACTGGTACAGAACTTAATTCAGTTTTCCTCTCTTCAAAAGCTTTTTGTTGAGCACCTACCCACTGAAATTCATTCTTTGTACTCAACAGATCACTAATAGGATTTTTTTTTCGGACAAATTTGGAATGAATTTTCCCAATTGATTAAACATTCCCAAAAATCTTCCCACATCACTCACATTTTGTGGCACTTCCATACCTTGTACTGCTTCAATCTTTTCTGGGTCTACTTGAATTCCAGCTTCACTCACTATATTACCTGCAAACTTTACCATCTTCTTAGCAAACTCACACTTCTCAGGATTTAGTGTTACTCCAGCATTGTCACATTTTTTCAGCAAAGCTTTCAGTCTACTGTCGTGCTCATTCTTCGTCTTTCCATGAGCTAGTACGTCGTCAATTATGCTTACTAGACCATCTTGTTTCTCCAGCATCTGTTTCATCCTTTTCTGAAAATGCTCAGGTGCAGATTTAATACCGAAAGGCATTCTATTGAAACAGAATCTTCTGAACAAAGTAATAAATGTACTTAACAAACGAGAGTTTTGTTCTAGTTTTTCTTGCCAGAAACCAGAGTTACACTCTAGCTTCGAAAAATATTTTGATCCTCTTATTTCTGCCAAAAGATTTTTGATCTTCGGAAGTGGATAAATTTCTCGCAAGTCCCACTCATTTAACTTTGGGAAATCAACACAGATCCTTATTTTACCATCTGCTTTTGGAACCACAACCATACCAGCGCACCAATCGGTAGGAATTTTAACCTTTGAAATAACGCCAAGTTTTTCCATGCGCGTCAATTCATCATGAACTTTCTTTGTCATCGTTAAAGGTATTTTTCTAGGTGTGGTTAACGCAAATGGGATAACACCAGGTTTTAACTTAATGTTGTATACTCCGTCTAATTCACCCAGACCTATAAACAAGTTTGGATAAGTAGCCTTTATTTCTTCTTCCATATCACTTGCATCATTTGACTGAATCGCTTCGACTGTTGCTATTAGATTAAAGGCATTGATAGCTGGACGTCCCAAAAATGGCTCTTTCAAATTTTTCACAATATAAATGTCTTTCTCTGTTGTTTTTGAAGTAGCAGTTCTCAATGTTGCTCGAATTTTTCCCGTTACTGACAGCTTTGCTTCATTTGGCCCGAACAATTCTTTATTAGTTGATTGCATCCGAGTTATGCCTGTTTGCATAAACACCGGTTCTGGAATCACCGTCACATTAGCGCCCGTATCAATCTTAAATTTCACTGTAGACTTTCCTAATAATTAGTCGATTGCCCAATTTCGCTCATTTTCTATATCGTTAATTGTCCCAAGAAAAAAATCTCCTGGGGATTCCGTGCTTTTGTCATCAACTGATTGAATTTTCGCGCTTGAGTTACTTCTGCATACCACTGCAAAATGCCCTTGTTTATTACACTTTAAACAAGTTTTATTGTTTGCTGGGCAATCCTCTCTTTTGTGAATAGTTGATCTTCTACATGGAGAACATTGACCGTTTTCCTTGCTCGAATGTTGATTGGGACTCCTATTCTTATTCCCTTTTAACTTCTAT